TTCTCTCTCCTCTTCTCTCTATCTCTCTCTCTCTTCTCTCTCTTCTCTCTCTCTTCTCTCTCTCTCTCTCTCTCTCTCTCTCTCTTCTAGCATCTTTTTCTATCTCTATCTCTCTAATTCTATTTTACACCACGCACAACACACACACACACTTAATATATATATATATATATACAAATATATATATACTACACAAACACAATATATATATATATTGTCTAATATACATACATATAACATGCTACATTATACATACATACATATAGGTGTCGTGTGTGTATATATATTGTAATATATAATATATATGTAATAAATATATCTAATATTCTATTCCATCTCCCTTTCTTCCCCTCCTCTCCCTCTTTTCTCTCAATCTCTTCTCTCACCTTTCTCAACCCCCTCTCTCCCTCCCCCTCCCTCTCTCTCCACTTCTTTCTTCTCTCTCTCCCCATTCTCTTCTCCCTCTCCCTCCCCCACCTCTCTCTCTCTCCTCCCCCACTCCCCTCTCCCTCTCCTCTCCCTCTCCCCCCCTCTCTTTCCCTCCCCTCTCTCCCACTCTCTTCTCCCCCCTCTTCCCTCTCTCTTCCCTCCTCCCCTCTCTCCCTCTCTCTCTCACTTCTCCACTCTCCCTTCTCCTCTCCTCCCCCATTTCTCTCTCGCTCGCCTCCGTGATAGAATAAACAGATAAAGCATCCACTTACACCACGACGTTTACCGTAAAAGTCAGTCTCTCTGGCCTCCCCCTCACTGCCCACTCGCTCTCTCGCTGCAGCCCCACTCCCACTCGCTCTCCCACTCCTAACTGTCACTCCCACTCCCTTTCCCACTCTTACTCTGACTCTCACTCCCACTCGCTCTCTCCTCCCTTTCTCACTCGTAACTGACTCTCACTCCCACTCGCTCTCCACTCCCTTTCTCCACTCGTCAACTCTAATTCCCACTCCTAAACTCTGACTCGCTCTCGCCCACTCGCTCTCCCACTCCTAATTCTCAACTCCTAACTCTGCTCTCACTCCTAACTCTAGCTCTTCTTCTTCCTCTCACTTTCTCTCTCTTTTCTTCTCTCTCTCTCTCTCTCTCTCTCTCTCTCTCTCTCTCTCATCTCTCTCTCTCTCTCCTCTCTCTCTCTCTCTCTTCTCCACTTTCTCTCCCTCTTCACACCCCCTAACTCTTTCTCTCCGCCTCTCTCTCTCACACTCACGCTTTCCTCTTCTTTTCCTGTTTACACTCCCTCTCCACTCTAAACAATTCATTCCATTCTCTTCTCTCCCTCAGTTTACTCGCCCTTCCTCTCCCACTCCTAACTCTCATCCCCCCCTCTCTCTCTCACTCCATCCCTCTCCCACTCCAAACTCTTACTCCTATTCTCTCTCTCCCACTCCCTTTCCCATTCCTAATTCTCACTCCCACTCTCTCTCTCACTCACACTTCCTCTCCCTCTCCTGTTTACACTCCCTCTCTACTCCATCTCTCTCTCTCAGTCTCACTCCCCTCCTCTCCTTCCTCTCCCTCTCCCCCTCCCTCCCTATTGGTTTCGTGTAATTATTTCTCACCGCTATGTATTTATTTTACCCCCTTTCTCCCCCCACCTCTCTTCCTGTCTTTCTTCTCTCCCTTTTTTATTCGTCTTCCGTTCTCATCTCCTTTCCTTCGTCCATTTTCTTTCATTTATTTGCTCTTTCGATTATTCTCTTCGTCCTTCTTCTTTCTTTCTCTCTTTTTAATTTCTCTCCTCTTTCTTCTCCTTCTTCTCCCTCTCACTCTTTCCTTTTCTTTTTTCTTCCTTCCTTTTCCACTTTTTTCTATTTTCTTTTCCTTCCTCTCTTCCTCTTCACTTCCCCTCCTCTTCGCCACTTTCCCGCTTTTCTTTTCTTCTCTTCTCCCTCATCTCCAGTCTCTTCCCTCCAACTCTTCCCTTCCCTTCTTTTTCGTCTTTCCTTCCTTCCTCCCTTCTCTTTCCCTCTCCATCTCCCCTTCTTCCCTTCTCTCCACTCCTCCCTTCCCTTTTCCCTCCCTCCTCACCCTCCCTTCTTCTCCTCTCCCTCCCTCCCCCACCCCCTCACAACTCTCCCCTCCTTCCTTCCCTCCCTCCTTCTCCCTCTTCCTCCCTCTCCCTTCCCCCTATCTTCCCCTCTCCCTTCCTTCCTCCCTCCATTCCCCCCATCCTCCCTCTCCCAATCTTCCTCTCCCCTCCTTTCCCTCCCTCTCTACACTTCTCCCTTCCCTTCCCTTCCTCCCTTCCCCCTTCCCTCCTCTCCCCCCATCCCTCCCCATCCCCCTCTCCCGCATCTTATCAAGGCAAAGCAATTTCTTCGATGACGAAACTCGCCCAAGAAGGAACGTCCTGTGAGCTGATAACAAGGAAGCGAATATAAACACGCATTCCGTTTTTATATGCATGTTCTCTTCCCGGGGTCGACGATAGGGATGGTGAATGTAATGTCATAAGTCCGTATTTCCTCTTTTTTTTTTCTGTTATTCGTATCATTATTGTGAATCTTCGACGTCGAAACTCGCCCAAGAAGGAACGTCCTGTGAGCTGATAACAAGGAAGGGAATATAAACACGCATTCCGTTTTTATATGCATGTTCTCTTCCCCGGGGTCGACGATAGGGATGGTGAATGTAATGTCATAAGTCCGTATTTCCTCTTTTTTTTTCTGTTATTCGTATCATTATTGTGAATCTTCGATGACGAAACAAGGAAGGGAATATAAACACGCATTCCGTTTTTATATGCATGTTCTCTTCCCCGGGTCGACGATAGGGATGGTGAATGTAATGTCATAACGTCGTATTTTCTTCATTTTTTTCTGTTATTCGTATCATTATTGTGAATCTTCGATGACGAAACAAGGAAGCGAATATAAACACGCATTCCGTTTTTATATGCATGTTCTCTTCCCGGGGTCGAGGATAGGGATGGTGAATGTAATGTCATAAGTCCGTATTTCCTTTTTTTTTCTGTTATTCGTATTATTGTGAATCTTCGATGACGAAACAAGGAAGCGAATATAATCACGCATTCCGTTTTTATATGCATGTTCTCTTCCCCGGGGTCGACGATAGGGATGGTGAATGTAATGTCATAAGTCTGTATTTCTTTTTTTTTCTGTTATTCGTATCATTATTGTGAATCTTCGATGACGAAAAAGGAAGGGAAATATAAAACACGCATTCCGTTTTTATATACATGTTCTCTTCCCGGGGTCGATGATAGGGATGGTGAATGTAATGTCATACGGTCGGTTTGTTAAAATTGTGCCAGGCCCGACCCAATGAATTTTCATAAATACAGACGGAGAAATAAAGGCATATCTGTCTATATATCTGATAGATATACATTTAACTATCTATTTGCCCGGTTGATATGCATGTCTAGACGGATAAATATGCATTTATTTCTTTATTTATGCATGTCAAGTATACGAATATTCTTTGAGTCGAGCACAATTCTAACAAACCGGCAGATAGTCTGTATTTCCTCATTTTTCTCTGTTATTCGCATCATTATTGTGAATCTTATTATCGTGATTTATTTCTGATATCATTATCATTATCGTCATTATCCTTCTCTTCTCATTATTATCACTGAATTCTTTTTATCATACTAAAGCGGCGGTCTCAAGGCTAGATTTTTTTTGGACATGTCGGCATAAATATTCATAAATGTTCACGAAATAAAAAATAAAAAAATGCTATATATATTTCGATAATATAATGATGGTTAATAAATTGAAGCATATTTTGAAAATAATATTGATAGCGGCTATAAAGCTAGTTAACTATATAGTGAGAACTTCAATAGTGAGAGTAATATTGTATCATAAAAGTAATTAATATGCAGTAGAAGTATCTTTAATTCATATTTACCAAAACAACAACAGAGATAATATTCAAATTCACAAAACGACATTCTTAAGCGAAAAGGAAAGAGTGAGAGATAGTGAGAAAGAGCGAGAGCGAGAGAGAGAGAGAGAGAGAGAGAGAGAGAGAGAGAGAGAGAGAGAGAGAGAGAGAGAGAGAGAGAGAGGAGAGAGAGAGAGAGAGAGAGAGAGAGAGAGAGAGAGAGAGAGAGAGAGCGGAATGATGAAGGAATGGCAGCAATTCCAATAAATAGCGCGGATAAAAATCTAAAATATATGAACCTATATCCACAACCGACAGTAAGTAGCTACTTCATCATTATGTTCTCTCTCTCTCTCTCTCTCTCTCTCTCTCTCTCTCTCTCTCTCATCCTTTCCCTCCCTCTCCCTCCCTTCCCTCTCTCTCTCTCTCTCTCACCTCTCTCTCAACTCTCTCTCCTCCTCTCTCCCTCCTCTCTCTCTCTCTCTCACACACACTCTTTCCCTCCCTCCTTCCTCTCTCTCTCTCACCCTTTTCCCTCTCTCTTCTCTCTCTCTCTCTCACCTCTTCCCTCTCTTCTCTCCTCCCTCTCCTCCCTCCCTCTCTCTCTCTCTCTCTCTTCTCTCTCTTCTCTCTCTCCTCTCTCTCTCTCTCTCTCTCTCTCTCTCTCTCTCTCTCCTCTCCCCTCCCTTCTCCAGCGACTCACAGTTCTCCCCAACGAGGTGAAGCGACCACGTTCAATCGCGGTGGCCAGCCGAGCACAGATCTTGGAATGCAAAACATCTCTTTTTGTTCAGCTCTGGGCTTATATGTGCAACCCAGACTGAGATTATTGCACGTCGTTTCCTTGTGGGCATTGAGAGGGTTCACTTAACTGTTCCGTTTGTTTCTTTTTTGGTCATTTTCGACGGACACGGCAATTGGTAGATAACGGAGAATGCGATTTCCGCAAAATAATAAAAAAAAAAAACGAAAAAAACGAAAAAAAAAAAATACGGGAATATTTTTGCGCTCCCTACCTCAAAAAAAAAAAAAAAAAAGAAAAAAAAAGGTTCGCTTCACATTTGCATACATACATTACTAACCATGAACGAGTGTATGCTTCACAGCCCTGTCCCGCCGCACGCGCGAGCCGCCGGACACCGTGAGAGACACTAGCACTGGAGGCGCACCACGGCCGCCCCTCCGAGCCAACAGGAACCAGCGAGCGGCAGCGCAGACCTCGCCCTCGTCGACGGATCCGCACTGACTGGCTCGCCTCCGCTTGGTACTGTAAGCACCCCAGGGTTCGGGGGGGGAGGAGCGAGGGGCGGGGTCAGGCAGGGTGGGTGGTGGGCGGGGCTTCGAGCTAGGGTCATAACACCTACGGAGGGGATCGTGGCCGTCCTGTGTAGGGGCGTGAGGGGCGCGGGCGTCGTGACACGGGCGGGGGCGGACGCGGAGGGAGGGAGCAGGCGGACGCGTCCGGGCGGCGCTGCTCCTGCCTGCCGTTGGGGGCCGATGTGCACATGGATGTGCATTCAGATGCGTTATTTACATGTATACATTGATAAATTATATCATATCATATACATATATACATATATATATATATATTATATATATATATATATATATATATATATATATATATATATATATATATATATATATATATGTATGTATATATATATATATATATATATATATATATATATATATATATATATATATATATATATAATATATATATTATATATATATATATATATATATATATATATATATATATATATATATATATATATATATATATATATATATATATATATATATATATATATATATATATATATATATATATATATAATATATATATATATATATATATATATATATATATATATATATATATATATATATATATATATATATATATATATATATATATATATATATATATATATATATATATATATATATATATATATATATATATATATATATATATATATATATATATATATATATATATATATATATATATATATATATAACATAACACATATATATATTTACGCGACTCAACTCTCTGCTCTCTCTCTCTCTCCTTCTCTCTCTCTCTCTCTCTCTCTCTCTCTCTCTCTCTCTCTCTCTCTCTCTCTCTCTCTCTTCTCTCTCTCTCTCTCTCTCTCTCTCCTCTCTCTCTCTCTCTCTCTCTCTCTCTCTCTCTCTCTCTCTCTCTCTCTCTCTCTCTCTCTCTCCATTCCCCAGCGACAATTCACCCAATGAGGAGAGTGTTCCAGAACAAAAATATTGGCACCGACGTAAACAAATAATCATCTATCACAAACAAGTACCGCTGCCTGTGATTTAAAGAATAACCTTCCTCGTGTACTGTACTGAACATTCCTTGTTCAACTTATCAACTTTTTTAATTGTTCACTTTATCAGATGGAATTATACACTCAGCATATTATTCTGTGTCTGATCTTTAGGAATTATACACTCAGCATATTATTCTGTGTCTGATCTTTAGATAAGGGTGATTCCTTGATCTCTTGTTTGACCCTAAGCTTGGCCTCCACAGCATAGGGCGCAGGGTGATTCTGAGGGTTAAATATATACGTCTTTCGTGTTTTAAGATCACAGTATACCCGCGCGTGTATGTGTTGAAATACACATACCCCACGAATGTGTGGAATTCATGTTGAACAGATTGCAACAGGAACAACGGAGGGAAGGGCAAGAAAACACACGAATATGCCGAAGGCCTTTTCACTATTGCCCTGACGAAGCAATAGCAGAGAGAGAGAGAGAGAGAGAGAGAGAGAGAGAGAGAGAGAGAGAGAGAGAGAGAGAGAGAGAGAGAGAAGAGAGAGAGAGAGAGAGAGAGAGAGAGAGAGAGAGAGAGAGAGAGATAGTGAAAAGGCCTTCGGCATATTCGTGTGTTTTCTTGTCCTTCCCTTCGTCGTTCCCGTTGCAATACCCCACGAAGCGAGGGTTAAATACATACGTCTCTCATGTTTTAAGATCAGAGTATACCCGCGCGCGTATGTGTTGAAATACACATACCCTTCTAAGCGTATATACACATACCTCTCGAACGGTGCGCATACTCGCAAACGATCAGCTAAATGCATATTCATGAGGATAAGCCCTTCGTTAAGCGGCCAACCCATTAATAAGACCCTCATGATTAACGTTTAACTCGACCATTAACCTAACCCATTAATAAGACCATGATTTCCTGGGGATTAATATCTACGTTTAACTCGACCATTAACCTAACCATAATAAGACCATGATTTCCTGGGGATTTAATTATCTACGTTTAACTCGACCATTAACCTAACCCATTAATAAGACCATTATTTCCTGGGGATTAATATATACGTTTAACTCGACCATTAACCTAACCCATTAATAAGACCATGATTTCCTGGGGATTAATATATACGTTTAACTCGACCATTAACCTAACCCATTAATAAGACCATGATTTCCTGGGGATTAATATATACGTTTAACTCGACCATTAACCTAACCCATTAATAAGACCATTTTTCCTGGGGATTAATATCTACGTTTAACTCGACCATTAACCTAACCCATTAATAAGACCATTTCCTGGGGTTAATATCTACGTTTAACTCGACCATTAACCTAACCCATTAATAAGACCATTATTTCCTGGGGATTAATATATACGTTTAACTCGACCATTAACCTAACCCATTAATAAGACCAATTTCCCTACGCGACCATTAACCTTTATCTCAGCGCCTGGAGAATGTCTGTCTTTTTCAATCGTCTTGGAAGGAGGAAAATGGAGGAAGTCTTCACGTCAACTGAAGCACTTTTGAGACATTTAAGAGTAACTATTGGAGTAATTATCTATAGCGAAGAGTAAATTATTATTGGAGTAATTATCGAAGAGTAAATTATAACTACTGGAGTAATTATCAGAAATTATAACTATTGGAGTAATTATCGAAGAGTAAATTATAACTATTGGAGTAATTATCGAAGAGTAAATTATAACTATTGGAGTAATTATCTAAATATAACTAATTTGGAGTAATTATCAAGAGTAAATCATAACTACTAATCATCAAATTATAACTATTGGAGTAATTATCAGAGTAAATCATAACTATTGGCGTAATTATCGAAGAGTAACTTACCGCTAAACTATCCTGGCTTGCGATTAAACGAGTAATCACAGTTTCACTCACTTCTGCTCCGCCCTGTTAAGACTTTGTTGAGCCTTGTCGTATTCCTTTTTACTGACCCCAAGATGGTGCTGTGTCTTCCCTTATCTCGGGCCACTCCCATAAAACAAGGATGTTGCCTAATTGGGTTTGTGTGCGTTGCGTCCTGACGGTGTATATTTACATATTTTCCTTTACATCAAAACGCGAAGATGTGGCAGGAAGCGAAGGCCGAAATCAACACGTTAAAGAAGAAAGATAGATAGAAGAAAAGAAGGAAAGTATAGACACGTCGATTGCAAATTAAAGAAGAAAGACAGAAAAAAATGGAGAGTATAGACACGTCAATCACAACATCGATGCTTAGACGAGGTACTTCCTCCTATAACGAGAGAGAGAGTCCAGGAGAGGAGTAAATAGACCAAAAAAAAGGAGCAAGAGAGAGAAAAGCAGATAAAGAGAGATAGAGCAAGAGGGAGAGAAGCGAGCGGCGCACCCACAAGTTCACGGACAGCCGGGGAAAGGTCCCAACAGCTCCTAATAATGTTTAAAGCATATTTTTAACCGAACCTCCGTCCGGGTGAGGGAAGCCACCAGAACCTACTCATCATATCTAATTCATACAACCTTCAAAACAACGTGGATTTACTACAACCTCACAACCCACGAAGTCAAATCCGTATATATTTTTTTTATAAATCTACAAAACTGTATACTCAAATCCCCCCCTTTTTTTTTATGTCATTCTAATTTGAATAAATTATATTTTTTTCGGTCCCTCATTGGAGACAGAAGTGTGTCAGTGTTTTAGATGTGATAAACGTATGCACACATATGCACATGATTAAGAACATAATAACTACAATTCCCGTTGATGGATATCAGCATGTTTAAAAACACTTTAAATGGGTTTTTGTTATTCAATTAAATCGGTTCACCTAAAATTAAATTTGGGTTTAGTGTAATAAACGATTGAAAATACATCCCTGCCGTCTTAAGGATATTAGGAAACAGACTTTCATGTCTATGAATAAATTGTAATGGACTTATTAGTAAATTATCGACGTGCGGAGTAACTATGTTGTGGTTTTAGGATTTCATAATATTTATAGGAATCTTATTTAGTAGACAAAATAAAATTATTCCCCGTGTAATTCTTGGAAGATCCGTGTTTGGTACTCTGTATGTGTGGATGTCTGTATACACACACACACAGACACGTATATATATATATATATATATATATATATATATATATATATATATATATTATATATATATATATATATATATGTATATATATATATATATATATATATATATATATATATATATATATATATATATATATATATATATATATATATATATATATATATATATATATATATATATATATATATGTATATATATATATATATATATATATATATATATATATATATATATATATATATATATATATATACATACATACATGCATACATATATATATATATATATATATATATATATATATATATATATATATATATATATATATATATATATTATATATATATATATATATGTATGTGTGTGTGTGTGTGTGTGTGTGTGTGTGTGTGTGTGTGTGTGTGTGTGTGTGTGTGTGTGTGTGTGTGTGTGTGTGTGTGTGTGGTGTATATATATGTATATATATATATATATATATATATATATACATATATATATATATATATATATATATATATATATATATATATACATATATATATATATATATATATATATATATATATATATATATATATATATATATATATATATATATATATATGTACATATATATATATATATATATATATATATATATATATATATATATATATATATATATATATATATATATATATATATATATATATATATATATATAATATATATATATATATATATATATATATATATATATATATATATATATATATATATATATATAAAGACACACAAAATATATATGCACACCTTGGGTACGTAATGATACCCTTCTGAGATTACGAATAAGATTCACTCTATAAACGATCCCAATTTTTTTCCAAAGCTGTAAACCCAGATAAACACACCGAAAAAAACAAGAAAAAACAAGGAAAATAAAACACGAGAAAGGTAAACACCCCTAAAAAAACAAGAAAAACAAAACAAAAATAAAACACGAGAAAAGGTAATTCCAGCTGAATAAAAACAGAAAAAACAGACACGATTTTCTCTCCCTTTCCCTGACAGAAGGACAACCCAACAGCACTAAAAACAAAACAAAAAAAAACAACAACAACAAAACAAAAAAA